CATATATGTATTGACAGGGCACCGTTAAGATGTTTATCGTTTTAAACAATTCTCTTAGCGATTCGCAACGGCGTAAGTTATATATTGCTCGGATAGCCCGCTTTTGAAGAATAAAAATTGATTCTATTTCTGCAGCTCGACCCCACAACAAAATGCCGTACGACATAATGCTGTGAAAGTAACTAAAATAGACAAGCCTTGCCGTATCTACGTCCGTGAGCTGTCTAATCTGTCTAACTGCAAAAGCAGCTGAGCTTAATCTCCCCGAAAGCGCCTTTATATGTGGGCCCCATTGTAGTCTATTGTCTAATGTAATGCCTAAAAATACCGTCTCGTCGACAAATTCTAACTTTTGGCCGTTTAAAACAACATCACAATCATTACTTCGGACGTTTGGTAAACTAAATTTAATACATTTTGTTTTTTTCTCATTAAGCGCTAGATTATTAATGGTGAACCAGTTTTGCACTCGAAGAATGGAGCTGTTTACGTCGTCAAGATTATTAGCACGTCGATCTATTTTAAAAATTAATGAGGTATCATCTGCAAAAAGCACCATTCTTGGTTCATTCTTGAATATAAATGGCAAATCATTTATATAGACTAAAAAGAGAAAGGGACCCAATATTGAACCCTGTGGAACGCCCATATTCATCGTAGAGCCCTGCGAGTTAATACCATTAACATGAACCTTTAATTGCCTATCTTCTAAATAAGACTTTATTAGACAGAGTGCGGTGTTTCTGATCCCGTAGTGATCTAATTTCAGCAAAAGTGTCTCGTGGTCAACGCAATCGAACGCTTTTGAGAGGTCACAAAAGACACCAATAGCATCTTGAGCTTCCTCCCAATATTTTGATAATTTTTTATTATGTATTTATGTAAGTATCTGTATCTTTATTTTTCATAATCTTTGTTTGTGTGCCATTTACCAAATAAATGCTTTTTCTTTCTTCTTTCACTTCAATAAAGTGGTAAAGAAACTATAACGCCACCTTTGGTGTTAAAGACGTCTAAAACCCACCTACGTAAACCAATAAATACTTTCCGTCAAGCAATATGTAACCTTTTTTAATACAACATGGTATAAAAAATATGCCTGAGCCAGAAACAAAACTCGAAATCTCATCGTATTTGCAATCACTCGTCCAGAAAACCAGTAATAAAGTACAATACTTTACCCCAAAAATCATGTCCTAGTTCCAAAACTTAGCTAAGTGACATAGTTCATGGAACTTAGTCCGGCGTCGAAGGCTGGTAGTTGTGATGGAGGGGTATAGTTTCTGTTGTTTAAGCTGAGATGCCTGGCAGTAAGCCAGGTCAACACTACATTGAAGAATAAAATCACATAACACAATAGTCTTGGAAGGAGCGAAAATAGCTTTTGAGGAGATGAAGAAATATTTATACTGAAGTAGAATGCTATTTGGCAGACGCTGGGCTCCAAACGATGACGACAGAATAAAATACTCTTGTTACCACTCTTATTCTTCCATGAGTGTCGTAAAAGCATACTGCATGGTTGGTGCGGCGGCTGGTCAACTGACAACTCGTTGTGTGATCTACAAATTGTTGTTTCTGGTCTAGATTTCATGTGTATATGAACTTGTATGTATTTAAAGGCAACGTTTAAAAAAACTTAAAAAAGTGACATTTATTGTGTAGTAGAATGCTCTTTGGAAGACACTGGGTTTCAAATGATGACGGCAGAATAAATTACTCTTGTCACCACTCTTCTGCTTCCCATGGGCATCGTAAAAACCAACTAAAAGACATATGACAAAAACTGGGTAGCAGCGCTCTCTGGTAAACCTTAAAATTTGAAACTGCAATCTGCAGCACAAAACACGAAATACAAGAAATGGAGGAAAACTAGTAAAAATGCAAAGAATCAGCCTAATTACAAAACGAAATTCCATTTGAAAGACCTGAACAAATGAAAATTCCACAAAAATCACAGCTAAACGACTGAAACGAGACACAAATTCGTTGGTCAAACACAAGGTTTACCAAAATCAGCGCGCAAAATTGTGATTTTTTGAAAATGCACGTATGCAAGTGTGAAAAGTGGTAAAGTGTGGGATAGCCATGCTTCGGCACTGAAGCGACCGGAGTGATATCACGGCCTCACAGAAAACCGACGTGAAGCAACGCTTGCGTTGTGTTTCGTCGTGTGAGTGAGGTTACCGGAGGCCCACTTATCCTCCCCTTCTCTAATCACCCCAATTCCTGAATCTGAACGCCTAATCCCCAAAAGGCCGGTAACACACTTGTAACGCCTCTGGTGTTCCGGGTGCCCATGGGCGACGCCGATTGTTTACCATCAGGTGATCCGTCTGCTCGTTTACCGGCTTATACCATTAAAAAAAATGCAAGAGACGCTTTGTCAGCATTACCATTTTAATCTCGAATGTTCCACAGAGCGTGTAACTTTTGTTCATAGGTACTATAGACGAGGAAACGTAAAACATTATCATATCGATAAAAATTGTAATGTATGTCAATTTTGAAAGCCTTATCGACCCGACGATTATATCAGATGATATCAGTTTTCAAACGCTGTTGTTTTTTATAATTGAACTGGATTATAATGGTATCATAGCATTTGTAATGGATACTGGTATAGCTTACTCCATAGACATATATGTGACCATTATACAAATCAAAATAATACGAAGCTTTTTACATACATACATGACCTCTCGCCTGTCTCCAATGAGGGTGAGCAAGGGCTATGAAACGCCAATAGTTACAATTCTTACATACCTCTTTCGCTTCATCAGTAGTCTATTCAAGCATGCTCATCGGGCAAGGGTAATTACAAAGCTTTTTATGCCCATCAATGTTAAGAATCAAGGACCTATTTGGACCATTGACCACACAGGCACCATTTCTGATTTACCATTGCCTGCTGCGGTAAGATTCTAGAAGTTTATTTCGAACTTAAAGTAACTAGTACCAATACTTAGGTACTAATTTTACGAAGAATTTCGTTTATTAAAAGGGACCGCATTACGTACAAATAATCTTTGACCATTAAGGAAAAATATGCCTGTCAAAAGGAAATTGTCGTAATCAAAGTAAGTTTTTGATGGCAAGCCTAAGGTAACATTTTTTTAAGGTGTAAATATTTTAGATTTTTATTATTTGTATTTTAAGTTATATATACATAATATATATTCATGCTCTCTGGCATTGGCTGCCTCGTTGGCCGAGTGGTCGCAATTACGACTGCCGGGCAAAGGGTCTCGGGTTAGGGTCTACACAACACAAACTAATTACCTACACAGTGCTACCTATTATCTATATAAATAAAAATGAATTTCCGTTCATTACTCTCGGTAAAACTCAAGAAAAGCTGAACCGATCTGGCTACTTTAAGTCTTGAAACGTTCGTGGAAGTCCAGGGAAGGTTTAAAAAATAAGAATAAATTATTAGGCGGTACGAAGATGTACAAAGAGCCATCAGACCACCATGGATGGGGCTGATGCCGATACGGAGCCACGGAGAACCTAACGGGTTACCGGGGCTTCAGCTCGAAGTGCAGGAGTAGGAACGGGGTGGTTTTTAGTCAGTAAGACTGACACTCCCTCCTGCCTCACCCAGGCGGGAGAAGTCATTCGATGATTTTACCCCCTTAAAAAAAAGTATATAAATAAATATGTATATGTAGATACCATATTCGCGAAGAATAATCTCCAATACAAGTTACAAGCCATATTGACCTTTGACCATTATAAAACAAGAAATAAAATCCAATGAACCGAAAACAAAACACGGCAATTCATCTTCTTTTTCCATTGCCCCATTTTCGCGGTTACTTTATTCAATTATCGCAGTCCAGTCGAAAATTCCAGTATTTCGTAAAACTGATAAAATGCAGCGCCGTATTAAAATGCAGGCGACGCGACGTTTGGCTGACGCGATTACCATATTAATCTGAAATACTTCGTGGAGGGTGAAAATATTCAGTGAAGTCGGATAGCCTCGTGTTTTACAGCAGTCGGCTTAACTGGCAGCTACTGTAGCATTAAATCAGCTGACTTTTGGGAATATTAATTATGAACAGTTCTGGGGGAATGAATAAATAATTTGTGTAGTTCGTATTTTCATGGCATGATAGTGCAATCAATTTATGATATAGTCTGCCTCGTTGGCCGAGTGGTCGCAAGTACCTACGACTGGGCAAGAGGTCTCAGGGACAATTCCCGGATCGGGTAAAGTATTACTGTTTTTTTTTAATTCTCAGTAGTACATTGCACGGAGTCTGGAATATGCCCGGTGTATGGCAATAGGCTCACCCCGTATTAAATGGAACTAACTAATGGAACATAGCATAAATAGTGAAAAATGGGTTTACATTGTAAGTGCCGTAATGTGCATCTCTGCATACCCCTTCAAAAGGTTAAAGGATGTTATGTTGTGCAATACAAAAACAATTTTTGATATTAATGTTATTACTTTTGTGAGACATACTACATTAAGTCGTCAAATAATTACGTGAGTATTATTTGGCGAATTTTTGATAGTTATCAGTTTATAGCGATATATATTGGTGCCTCGTTATTCAAATCATGCTTATTTTCTAAACGATGTTAGATAAGGATTTTGAGAAACAGGAATGGGAGGTATAATAGAGAAAACCAAAATGTCGATGCACTGACCAAAAACGAAAAAGTTTAAAATATTTCTGAAAGTAGAATAAGACGAAAGAACTCTGTTTACAAAAATCTATTCATTGAAAATCACACTTCGTATAGGACTTTCCGTGAGAAATGCTATTCCATTCATCATCACCATCATTGTGGCTCGTGTTCGTCCATTGCTAGACATAGGCCTCTTCAAAGACGACATCTCCTCTCCATCCCTCCTCTTCCTTCCTGCGAGGAGACTAGCAGTAGTTGGATGAGAAGAGCTGAAGACCGACCTCAATAGCGTGCCACTGAAGAGGCCTATGTTTTACATTAGCTTCATCAACATTTGTATTATTTGTACTCACCCTGTCAGCGACTCCGCCGGGCAGCACACTCTTGACGACCACGCCGGAGGAGCGGCCGCCCACGATGCCGAACGCCAGCCCCGACCCATCGTTTACCAGCTCCACCACCTCCACCTGAGCCCATTCGCCAAACACCTGCTGTAGGAGCAATTAAAACATTAGTATAATAGTAATTAGGTCTGTTATTGCCTAAATAGTTATTGGCTCGTCCCCTATTATATGAGACTCGTAATATAACTAGCATGTTTTCTTCTTCATGGCATAAAATATGTGACAAAAATAATAAAGTTGTTCGAAGAGGTTAAAATCTATTAACTACTTTTTTCCTGTAGATCGTAGTAAATAATTACTTTCCAGTCCAATTACATCCAGTTATATTCCACGGCCCTCAGGCAAGGAGGTATTACTGAAAACCAAACATAGTTTCAGACATGTAACTTAACGGTCTTGAAAATTATTCTCATGTATAATATCTTCGTGTAATTCGAAGTATTTATTGGCTATGTGCAAAGCGAGTAGTGGCGGACAGGTAACGACCGCAGCGCACAACACGGCAGAAATTGGAAACAAATGCGGATGATGCAAACCCGGTTTTTATTATTATATTCATTTTACAGTAAAACTATTGAATAAATTGCACTTAAATAATGTCAATAATACTATTTTAATCTTTGGTATTATTAATATTTGCAAAGAAAATTTTATTTGACAGCTTCCGCAAATGTTGTAAACTCTACGCGTCGCCACCGTCGCGCACATAGCCAATACAAACATTTTTAACAATCTTCGAAAGAACTGAATGGCTTTTGATTGAAAATAGGTACAGATAGTGCTAGTTCAAAGACTTCATCGGAGCAACATAGTTTTATATTCTATCAAAACATATTTCCCAAACACATTGCTAGCTATTGTATTATGAATAGAATCAGAAGCTACAGCAATATTTGGCTGGTAGCTGGTGCCATCCTCCGGGGAAATAACATCCACTCCTTGCATGGCTGCTCGAGTGGAAACACATTATACAGCTTACTGCTTCTCATTGCTTTTTGTATTGAGTTTTATTATTTAAAGCTTACATTATCTTTAATATTAGATGTTGTTTCAAATTTTTGATTCTGATTATTTTCTATTCGGGGACCTTTAGTCAAACGCCACTTTAGCGCTTGTCTACATGTAGAGTAGAAAACTAAATTATATGGAATTGACGTAAATTTTGACACTTGTCAGTGCCATCCTCATACATTTAGTTTTCTACTCTCTCTCTCTCTCGCTAAATGGCATTTGGCTACAGCTGCAGGCTATATTCAACTGTTCAACTGTTCATAATATTATGTCGTGTTACGATTGTAAGTTGCCCTTACCTATTTATTAAAAAATGATTATAATTATATAGTTGCATGAAGTCCTTATTTTATCGGCATTAACTAAGTACTGAAACTTTACATATAAACCTACCTACTCGTTAAATTTTAATCAACTCAACAACAGTCTATAAGTGGCCACAGCAGACCAAAGGCCTCCTCTCACATGGAGAAGAATTGAGCATTAATCGCCACGCTTGCTTAATGTGGGTTGGCGGTTTCAAATTTGTAATTAGAAATTCATCATCATCAACAGCCTATAAATGCCCACTGCTGAGCAAAGCCTCTTCTCACACGGAGAAGGTTTGAGCATTAATCGCCACGCTTGTTCAATGCGGGTTGGCGATTTCAAACTTGTAATTACAAATTATAAGCTTAGGTTTCTTCACGATGTTTCCTTTCACCGTTTATCAGTGGTGTCTAAATAATCTTAGAAAGTACATATAACTTGGAAAATGTCACATTGGTACTTGCTGTTGATAGGTTTTGAAACCGTACCCTCATCCATGAGAAGTGGGCGTCTTAAAACAACAAAACTATGTAACTAGAGAATTGTATTGTAAACCAGATTGAAAAAGAGTAATCTATGGAGTTTCTTGCTCGTTCTTCTCCATAGGAATCTACACCTTGGAATGAGCAAATAGCTTCACTTTTAATTTTATTTGTTGACGTTCAAAAGTGCCTTTCTGATCTAATTGAAATAAATGATTTTGACTAAACCTTCGGGCCACCACGATTCATTTTTAATCCATAAATAGTTATCATTCCCTACGGATACAGTGAATACAGTCATAAAACTCCTTCAAGTACCTAAATAAATAAAGTACCTTCATAAAGCAATATTATCTACGCTAATAAAAACGTCAAATCATAATCTCTTCGATATATCCAATGCATCCATCCAGCTACTTATAGCTTTGACATCATCCAGCATCTTCTAACCACTTGAACTTTTTCCAGAAGAAATTGGGTCAAGGTGTCTAAGGCGTCCTCAATATATAGAAGTGACGTCACCGAATATTGGCGCCGCATGACTTTATTAGAGACAATTAATTTAATCTATTTTCACGTCATCATACATAGGTACGTGAAGTCACGCCTTAGTTTCATAGATAGGGAACTGCATGACGCCACTTGGATGTTTGCAATTTTCATTGCATCACATTTATCCGCCTGATCATAATTAAATACTCATTTTTTTCATAAGTCGGTAAACGAGCAGCCAGATCACCTGATGGTAAGCAATCGGCGTCGCCCATGGACACCTGGAACACCAGAGGCGTTACAAGTGTGTTACCGGCCTTTTGGGGATTAGGAATTTGAGGAGCGTTGGGGATTCAGGAATTGGAGAGATTAGAGAAGGGGAGGATAAGTGGGCCTCCGGTAACCTCACTCACACGACGAAACACAACGCAAGCGTTGCTTCACGTCGGTTTTCTGTGAGGCTGTGGTATCACTCCGGTCGAGCCGGCCCATTCGTGCCGAAGCATGGCTCTCCCACACTTAAAAATTATAAATTATAAATAAATTAACTAAAAACTTTTGGCCTCTAGGAAGTGAGAAGTCAGTGTCATGTATTCTCATAGTGGGTTCCCAAAATTTTCGTAGCTTCAGCAGCTATTCTTTTAACATCATTTAGCCTAGTATTTAATTTTGCTAACACATTTGATTCTTCTTTTGGAATATTGCCATTAGTAAGTAGCACGAACTTTGGAATGAGGTTCATCCCACTAAGTTCGTCCACTATTGCCTGCGTAAAACAACGGGCATAATAACATGACACTACATAAGCTGACAGTTGGACAATGACGTCAATTTAGGTTTGATCATAATTGATACTTAATCTAATATAGTGTCTCACCATGATGCGCTTAATTCGCCTCTTGCTGCGAGGCCGGCGCGGGCGACTTTCCGATCAGCTGACTTTCTCCGCCATAGCGCTGTCTCATTGACAGCTTTGACGGAAACTGCCGAAGGTTACCGAACGCGCTACGGGAGCAGACACACGTACTGCCGCGTCGCACATTATTTTTGAATTATATTCTACTTTATATGGACTTTTGGTGAAGATTCGTTGTTTGAGGACGCTGTAACAAAGAAAAAAATATTATTAAAATGACATCTATTATGGCTAAATACTTATGGAAATTTAAGTTCGCACAGCTCATCCGCATCTTCACTCAAAAATGACGCTATATATCCTCCAAAAAAACGCGCGGATTTAACGTCTCGTCTGGGCGGGAGAAGTAACTGGATGATACTCCCCCCCCCCCTCAAAAAAAACCTCCAAAAACCGTCGTATGAAAATCTATTTACTAGTTTCTGAGATTATCGTAAACGGACTCTGCGTAGGATAATAGGTTCAATGTAAATATTAAGTTATTTCAGTTGGTCTTCACCTCAAAGCAAAGTCTAGCTAAACTAACAAAACATAAACTACATTTTCCTATAAATATTTATTTACTGTCAACAGTGTCGTTATAATAGAGTTCTAAGACGATATGAATTTCACCAAGACAGGAACAAAATAACGGAGCTAGGCAATTTGAATATTTGGTTCACTACTGATACATATCAAAATAAGGCGGACTGGTGACAAAATACATTATTTTACACGTCATTTATGGTAATACCTCGTGTAAACTAAATACTTTGTTACAATAGGAACACGGGGTCCAATTTCGTGACAGGCGAAGTATTTTTTGGAATGTAGGTTTAAAAATTTCTTTAACAAGATAAGTCTAGATAATGTTACATCATAGTCAAAGCATTTATTTCAATTAAACCAGAAAGGCGCTTTTGAACGTCAAAATAAATATTTTAAAAAATGTCCATCTTTCGGTCAGTCCTCTATTGAAGCAGCAAATACTCGTTCCAAAGTGTAGATTCCTATGGAGAAGAACAACCAAGGAACTCTATAGGTTACTCTTTTTCAATCATGTTCACAATATAATTCTAGTGAATCTAGGCACTCGTTTCAATGTATAGTTTCGAATGTAGCAGAACGAGCAAGAAACTCCATCGATACTCTTTTATAGTACTCATTTATATACTACTCCCATCCATCCCATCTTACGAGACTTAAAACAAAATGGCGAAAAGGAAGTATTTATTATTTCCTCTGTCTACCTTTTTTTTAAGGTGGAATTTCATTGATTGGCTTATCCCGCCTAGGTGTAGTGGGAGGGAGTCTCAGACTCTTACTGACTAAAAGCACCCCGTTCCTGCTTCTGCACTTCGAGCTGGAGCCTCGGTAACCTTCTGCCTATCTCCACGGTAAATAAAAGGAATGATGTAATTGACATAACATAACATCACGCCTTTTATCCCCGAAGGGGTAGGCAGAGGTGTACATTATGCTACTGTACAATGTAACACCCACTTTTCACTATTTACGTTATGAGTCCCATGTAATAGGGGGTGAGCCTATTGCCATATACCGGGCACAATTCCAGACTCCGTGCTGATGTAATTGCTTCTTATATAAAACACCGTTAAAGAACCAACCATTATTTTACTACACACAAAATTTTGCTTTAAAAACATCACCTATTCGCAAAATTTACGTAAACAACACATTTTCCTGGGAAAACTACATACATACATACACATACATAATTATAGAATACAACAACACTTTAGCAGTATTCAAGAAGTATTCAACAGTAGCGAGCGAGACGAGGCGAGACGAAGAAGGCACGTGGCATAAAACATACGCGCATACACTACGAAGTTTGTAAACTGAGACGAAAATACGCGGCCGAAATATGAAGGAGCTTGAGTTAGAGTCGGTTTACATTTGGTTGAACCATCAATACCATCGTGTTCACTGACTATTGCTGTTAAAGAAACTAAAGAAGTAAAGAACTAAAAGGTAGTAGATATTGATTATTTATCTCTGCAAATCCTTACTATTCCTTACTAATATTATAAATTGGAAAGTGAGTTTGTTTGTTTGTTCCGCTTTCACGCCGTAACTACTAAACCGATTGCTTTGAATTTTTGCAGACGTAAAGTTAGAAGTCCGGATTAAATAATAGGGTACTCTTTATTCCGGAAAAATTTGATATTCCCGAGGGAAAACAAAAGTATTGGTATAGATGGCGCTGCGTGTATTGGTACCTATATGTCATGTATAGGCTACTTTTTATCCTTTTGTGACGCTAGCGAAGCCGCGGGTAAAAGCTAGTAGACTATAAAATAGCACTTTAACACGCCCATATTTTTAAATTAAGGTATATGAAGCCAATTTCATATGTGACATTAAAGATAAAGATAATTTTATTTGCATAAACATGTGTCATTCATACAAAAGCATACAAGATGTTAATTGTTTAAAATAAGTGTCTAAGACATGTTTTACCCTTAGGAGCGTACAAATTTAATGTATAGTATTTACAATTCATATTAAAGATGACAAAATTAATTATTATTAAATAATAGTACGGTGGTCTACATTATAACGGTGTCAAAAAGTAGTGTCAGTCAGAAAGTCATTCAAACAGTAATAACACTTTTCTGCTAGTAAGCGTTGTGACTACTCTGAGAAGAAACAAGTCAAGTCAAGTCAAGTCAAGTTATTTCAATTAGACCAGTAAGGCACTTTTGAACGTCAAAACAAAATATTTAAATACTAAATAATAAGAAAAGAAAATGTGTCAGTCTGTAAGTCAGTCCTCTAGTGAAGCTATTTGCTCGTTCCAAAGTGTAGATTCCTATGGAGAAGAACGAGCAAGAAACTCCATAGGTTACTCTTTTTCAATCATGTTCACAATACAATTTTTGGTTACATTCTTCCGTTGAGTTCAATAATATGAGAACAATGTAATACCAATATTTGGTCAAGGAGACGGAAAAAGAAAATAACCTTGAGGACAACAAATTTAATACAGTCTGGAGCTGACCAGTCCCATTTGACAGCGCCCGTTCACGAACATGACACGTACACCAGCACCGCCCAACTCGACCATGTTATAGGGAATCGAGCGATCCACTGCCCGTGCCACTGCCAATGAGACTTTTGAGTGAGCATGACAACTCCAGGCTGACACACATGCATTCTACTAGTCTAATTTAATTTAGGTAGTTACAGGGCTCTCACATTTACAATAGTTACCTATATAAAGTTTTACAGTGTGTACATTTGAACAAAATGGCTGTATTTGACATGATTGGAACTCATTGGAACATCAATGTTTTTCGCTATCCTGTGGAGCCGGACCAGCATGCCTCCAAGCATTTTTATCCTCTATGTAATCATTAAGTTTGTAGTATGCTTTTCCGCATAACGTTTTTTTAATATATAATTTAAATTTTGACTCATTTAAATGTTGTATTTCCTCCGGAATTTTATTATAGCATTTAACACAGAATCCCATAAAGGACTTTTGTACTTTTGTCAATCTAAATAGTGGCTGACTTAGTCTATCCCTATGTCTAGTTTGATAGTGGTGTCTGTCAGACACTTTACCAAACAACTGTAGGTTCTTCCTAACATACATAATGTTTTCATAAATAAATTGACATGGAACGGTCATAATGTTGATCTCCTTAAACTTTTCTCTGAGAGATTCGCGACGACCCAGGTTGTAGATAGCTCTGACGGCGCGCTTTTGTAAGATAAAGATAGACTCAGTGTCCGCAGCGTGTCCCCACAGCAAAATGCCATACGACATGATGCTATGGAAGTAACTGAAGTACACTAGTCTTGCCGTGTCTATGTCGGTTAACTGTCGGATCTTCCAGACAGCATAAGCTGCAGAGCTTAATCGTCCCGCTAGAGATGTAATATGAGGACCCCATTGCAATTTGTCATCTACAGTAATTCCCAGAAATGTAGTCTCTTTTACAAATTCTAATTTCCGACTGTTTAATAATATGTCACATTCCTTACTTCCAACATTTGGCAGAACAAATCTAATACATTTCGTTTTCTTATCGTTTAGCACTAAGTTATTTATTGTAAACCAATGTTGAACCTTCATCAGAGCATTATTTACGTCGTCATAATTATTTGTTCGTCTATTTATTTTAAAAACCAATGATGTGTCATCAGCAAACAATACAATATGTGGTTCATTTTGAAATAAATATGGCAAATCATTTATATATGTTAAAAATAGGAATGGACCTAGTATTGAGCCCTGCGGTACGCCCATAGACATGCTAGCACCCTGTGAGTTTACTTTGTTTACCTGTACTTTAAGTTGCCTATCCTGAAGGTATGACTTTAACAGATTCAGCGATACACCCCGAATGCCGTAGTGTTCCAGCTTCAGCAATAGTGTCTCGTGTTCAACACAGTCGAACGCCTTCGAAAGATCGCAAAATATTCCGATGGCATCCCGTGCCTCTTCCCACGAGGCAAAAACCCGCTTAATTAGTGCTACCCCGGCATCAGTCGTGCAGCGTCCCTTTGTGAACCCGTATTGTTGGTCATGAAATATAGTATTCATGTTAAAGTGACGCAGCATCTGAGTAAGCATCAATCTTTCAAACACTTTACTGAGCACTGGCAAGATAGAGACCGGCCTGTAGTTATTAGGTTCCGCACTATCACCGGATTTAAACAATGGCACTACTTTACTATGTTTCATTAAATCTGGAAAAATCCCTTGATCTACACTTTTATTAAAAATTAATGCCAAATGAGGCGCTATAGTGTCTATAAAAGACCTACACAAAGGAGAAATATACCTGTCTGATTATTTTTGGGTCAGCAATGTAACGTAGCTTTTTGAACACAAATATGAGCTTACGCAATCTATTGTTTAAAACGTTCAGATGCCGTTTAAAAGAAAGAGTTTCATCTAATATTACACCTAAATATTTTACATTACTACTCTGATTGATAAAAGGGCACATACATTGATCAGGAATGTTACAGTGATGGGCATACAAGGCTAAGGTAGAAACTGGGTTTTCCTTCCGAATAGCGAATTTGATGAAGTGTGTCTTATCTGTATTTAATGTTAGTGAGTTACACCGAAGCCAGTTATTTACATGATTAAATCCGTGCTGCGCAAGTCTGTAGACCTCAGTTTTCGAGTCAGCAGAAAAAAGTAGAGCGGTGTCGTCAGCGTATGAC